CCCCCCCCCCCCCCCCATTTTGCATCTCGCTGCTGACTCCCGCTAGCCTTCCTCCTCTACCCCCTACCCTCCCACCGAAAAATTGACCCCCTCTCCGGTACTCACTCTCCCCTACCCCCTACCCGCCACCCCAAAACCCCAAAAAATCAACATTTTTTTGAGAAATGACCCAAACTACGCGTTTGGTTCACCAAACAGATCCGCGCCTGTGCCCCTGCTCCTTGCTCCTTTCCCCCCTCAACCCCTCCACAGTACCTCCCCCACCCGAGCCCCCTTCTCTCCGCCTCCAGTTCCTACCCGAGCCGGCCTCCTCTCCTCCTACCCCCTTCAAAAAATAGTTTCTTTTTCCTTGTGGAGTCTAAAAATGGAAAATTACGCGATTGGTTCACCAAAAAAGTCGCGCCTTTGCCCGTGCCCGTTTAGGGTTTAGGGTCTAGGGCCGCCCTGTTTTGCTCCACGGCCAATGCACGGTCCTCGCATTTCATGCAACCCTCGACGGGGTGTGGGCTTAAGCTGCGGGTGTTGCTTTCGGTCGGTAGACATACTTTTCTGGCTTTCATCGGACTCATCTGGGTTCATCTTGTAACACAAGCGCTCGACACCGTATAGGCCTTATAATGTAGCGGTCTACACACTAAGAATAAGGTTTTTCGGTATATTCTAGTACAACTTGACTACACTCTCAATCTCAAGTGATTCTGACACCTACAATACCCAAAAACAATGCTTCAGGTGGCCCAACTGGTGAGCATAGAAGTCCCCCTCGCAGGGCCGACCTTGTGGAAGGGAAACCCTTCAGCGGGCAAGAGAGGGCTTAGGTTTTAGGGCTCTTGATGTTGCTACTCAGAGTGTTCGCATCATTGCTGGTAGTACCCTTGCCTCTCTTCTCGCTACACGTAGCACGAATAAATCTTCCTTTCGAGTTTCCTTGCTACACACTGTACGGGTTGAAAGAGTGCTGTTCACTTGACACAAACCGCACACACAACAAAAAAGATCGGTGCGAAATGCTCGATGCTTCCCGGCCAAACACCTGGAGTCTTTCGTCGAGCTCTGTTCCTGTCCGTCCGAAAGCAACACCTAACCTGATTACATCATCCGGGCTGACCTACTGTAGCACTACAGTGCAGAAACTAGAAGCCCTCACGCCAAACTCGAAACCCAAGACAAGCCCTAAGCTCCAAGCCCAAAACTCTTGACCCAAAACCCGGCCCCAAAGCCTGATTCCCACGGCTGAGCCCCTTTCCTCCTGGCACCTCAGGCGCTGGGAGCCGGGGCAGGAGCTGGACTGCCTGCCTGGCTCTAGGGTTTAGGGTTTAGGGTTTAGGGGGGTTTAAGGGTTTAGGGTTTACGGTTTAGGGTTTATCGTCGAGGCTCTTCGGAGTTCTCTTTCTCGCGGCGCCGGCTTTCGCGGCTTAGGGTTTTCTGTACCGTTTTGATATCAGTGCAGGCCCTTACCTAGAGGTCCCAACCCCCCTAAGCCCTGCACCAAGCAGCCCACTTGGTGGATGATGAGTGGTACCCTGCAGGGCCCTTTGCCCCAAACCAAGGGGGCTCACTAGACTCATACCGAAAAGCTGCTGTCGCGTCACACCTACGATCCGTAGGTAGCAACTACTTAGGCGACTCGAGATCAGCAGGACAAACATGGACAAACCCTGCAGTCAGGGATCCCGCAATCTACGCGAAACACAAGAATTCCACACCGCACTGCATCGGGTGGCCTGAACGTTGACGAACCTGCCAAGCAGTACTGTCATTGAAGTGCTCATCATCCCTGTCATCATGCTGACGATCAATAGCATTGCCACATTCCTCGCCAGGATCACCATCATCACCATCACCAGCGCCATCATGATCGCCATCTTCATCATCCTCATCATCATCATCATCGTCATCCTTGTCGTCGCCATCATGGGCATGGCCGACAGCAGCAGCAAAAGCACATACACTTCCACCGAAAGCAAACACAAAAGCAACGGCCGCAGGAGCAACAACTGACAACAACAACCACAACAACAAGTACAACATCGCCATCACAGCCACATCCTCATCACAGTCCGGCCCCCCTCACCCATCTGCGCTAACCTCAAAACTCCTGGTAGCTATTAACGACGCTATGATGTTTTTCTCCGATTCGTATCCTTCTTCGGTAATGCTGTTGGCGGGGGGTTGGGGAGGGGGGGGTGGGTCAGGGCGGCGCTGGTGACCGCCAGGCGACTTCGTCATTCTTTACAAGGCCACCATCACCGGGAGTATGTCATCATCGCCATCATCATCACCATCACCGTTGGTATGACTAGCATCATGAGGATCATGTTTGCCAGTAACACTCTTTCTTGGCATCATCAACATTAACATCATCATCATCATCATCATCACCATCATCA